TCATATATTTTATCAAATTTAATCAAAAATTGATATTATTTTGGAAAAAGGTACTTAAATTGAATTATCGTTTACTTGACTTGAGTCAAATTTTTTGATTTCAGTCAGCTCATCATAATTTAAATCAAAAATACTTATAGACTTAAGTCATTAAAATGACTTCGATCGTTGGTTTAAGTCATAAAATGACTTGAACCACATTATACTGATTTAAGTCAATACGGAAATGACTTGACTTGAGAGAAAAAACTTCAAGTCAAAGACTTAAGACTGAAATAATTTGAGCTTTATGTTAGAATTGACTTAAGATTTAAGTCATTTCGATTTTAGAAATGAATTAAGACTTGAGATTTAAGTCTTTTCAAAACTGACTTGTTGCAGCTCTGGACACAGGGGCCAAAAAGCAGAAAGGGTCGAAAATTCGGGCAATTTCCTGAAGTATACTACGTTTTGTGCAACTCTTCTCAAACGGTAGGCAGCTATACGAATCGATTGGAGTCCCAAAACTTTGATGAAACTGGGTTCACCCTTTTCGAAAGATAAGGACATTTGACGATCACTGTCTGGTAACTTGGATAACAGAGCAGCGCGGTTACTAGCCCACTTTCTATGTTCAAATCCTCCTTTGCTTAACAAAGCAATGAGGTCCACTTGAAGTTTCAAGGCGGAGGGAGAATGACTACCTGAGATTATGTCATCTACATAAATTTCGTTTTCAACGATTTTAGAAGCCTCAGGAAAATTGCGACGTTCTCGAATTGCCAACTCTTTTAACGTGCGAATAGCTAAGTAGGCGGTGCTTTTATTCCGTAAACTAATGTATTCAAAATATATTCACGAAGAGGATCTTCTGGAGAGAACCTTCACAGGATTCTTTGGAAATCCCGCTGGGCAGGGTGCAGCAATATTTGACGGTACATTTATTTGATATCAGCAATAAAGACGTAATTGTGAATTCAAAACGATAAGAGAATAGTGGCTATGTCCTTTTGCAATTTGAGACCGGGCAATAATGCGTCATTCAGCGATAAACCCGTCGAAGTGGGATTGGAGGCGTTGAAGACGACTCTTAATTTGGTTGTGCAGCTATCAGGTTTTAGCACACAATGATGAGGAATGTAGTATTTACCAACTTTATTTTCAGTTATAGGGGCAACACTTATGTGATGAGTATCAAGATAATCGCGTATGAAATTCACGTACATTGAGTAAAGATCGGTATTTTTGGCTAGGCGCTTTTCTAACGACAAGAAACTACGATAAGCAGATGAGTAGGAATGTCCTAAGTCGGGATTCGAGCACTTAAAGGGCAGAGAGACCGTGAATCGACCAGTATTGTCGTGATAAGTGGACTTAGAGAAAACGTTTTCGCAGTGTTCATCATCGGGGGATGCAGAAAACGAGTGCCTAATGTTATCAATCTCTCAAAACCTTTGAAGGCAAGTATCCAAATCACTAGAAGTGCAATAAGATGAGATAGCAAGCGCATTATTAATGCGGCATTATTCGACGAATTCTGCACTTTCCCAATCAAAATCCAACCAAAGTTAGTTTCTAGAACGGATGGTTGACCATTTGTACCTGGAATCCGCCCGGAAAGTAGAATATGGGGGAGTAGTTCTGCCCCAATCAAAACGTCAATCGCTCCAGGAACTTGACACGTTTTATCCGCTAAATTGAGATGCTTGATATGATCCCAGCGACTGGCGTTAAGGGGAATGGAGGGCATGTCAGTGCACAGATTGGGTAAGATGATGGCCTCGAACGAAAAGACGGGAGTCGACAAGTTTTGAGGTTTTATGCGGCAATGAGTCATACCATTGGAGGTTTGCGAACGCATCTGATTTAAGCCAAGAATAGGTATATTATACCTGCGCCGTGGTAATCCCAATTGCCGAATACATTTTTCTGAAATGAAGCTAGCTTGGCTAGCTGAATCGATAAGAATGCGAATAGGCAGATAATGTCCGGTGAAGTCCTGAATGTCAATCATCGCGGTACCTAGTAGGACGGTGGAGGTAGCGCAGCTTGTGGCATAACTCAATGATGCGTTGGCGGAAAGTCCATCACTCTGACAATTATCTCCAGACGACGATTGCGAATTATCTGGGGGATCCCGACCAGAAGAGGGAGTTCCTTGACGGGACATGTGCAACAAAGTATGATGTGAATAATTACATGATCGACAACGATTATTGCTTGGACACTTTTTCAGAAGGTGAGACGACGACAAACAATTCAAACAGAGGTTGGCTTGTTTCGCAAAGGTGAATCTTTCATTGGGAGACTTAAGCAAATGCGAAACATCTCATTAACAAAGTGATTTCCTTTACAAGGCGCGCAATTTTGCGTCGAATGAATCACGTTAGTGAAAGACGAGCAGTTAATTTTTGGGGTGTGACTTTGGGGATACGAAGGTCGTTTGGGGGGTTGCAAGGGCTATTTAAGACTCAACGAGGGTTTTGCAGCAGATAGGTCTTTGCAATGGGTTTCCAAAAATTTTATTAAATCTTCAACAGAAGGGATTTCTTTCTGGGTCACTGCCACTTCAAATTCAGTTCGAATTTTATCTGCTAACTTTTAAAGCAAGGTATTGAGTAAAAGAAAATCACTGATTTTGTCTACCTGAAAACGTAGATTTTTTAAAATGGAAAGACCTTCCGAAAAATTATCCAAGAGTTTCCTTAAATCCTGGCATTACTGTTAGATTTCAAATTGAAAGTGAGGATACAAGTTAGCGCAAGCGTGGCTATGAGTCTTTTGTTTTGATAGCGCTTTAGGCTCGCTTTTCTCGGATGCGGGACGGAGACGGAACGGGTGCCGCAGACGTTGCCGGCATTAAAAATATAAAGATGTGCTTTCCTAAGCAGCGGTGGCGCGACGGTGGCGGAGCGAAGTTTTTTTGACGCTAGCGGAATCACGCCACCGGCCGATCGACAGGCAACTTCGACGGAGCGCAACACGGACGGAATATTATAAACTTAAAAATATCGAGTTTTACAGAAGAGCAAAGTGAGTTGTTGATTGATTTTAGTTTGGCAGTATCCTGTGTTGTATAATTTATCTATTTATACAGTGTGATCTTTTAAGTGTGCAACATATGGGGATTTTTTTTAGTAATAGCACAATCCAAATACAAACAAGGCAAAAAGTTGGTGCATGTCTGATAATCACATTAGGTGCACTTAGAATGGTTGCAAGTCAAACAGCATACAGGGTAGCTCAAACAATATCAAAGCTGTACTGTAAAGTACCCTTATTTTAGAAAATTCAGCATAATGTTATAGAGAAAAGTTGTTTGGAATTAAAAGTTATGCCTAAATAAAACATAGCCTCCTAAGATTTTTTTAATTTTTTTTCGAAAAAAATCTATAATTTCTATATTTTTTATATTTTTTTATTTCCGCCCTTAATATTTTCAAAAATTAATTGAAATCAAATCAATTTTACATAACTTTGTTCAAATTCAAGCATATTTGTAAAATTAACTTAGATTTTGAATTTTTTATGGAATCACAAAATTCATGTTTGTTGCAATGATATTCAACACAACTTTAAAATGTCGCAATTTTTTTTTTAACAAGTTAAAACATTACTAATGATAATAGCCACATTAAAAAAACTCTCCTTAAAGTGCAAGAGTTTTATTTTATTTTTAAGTAAATATTAGTAGAATTTTGATATTTTTTGAGCCACCCTGTATGCTGTTTGACTTGCAACCATTCTAAGTGCATCTAATATGATTATCAGACATGCACCAACTTTTGGCCTTGTTTGTATTTGGATTGTGCTATTACTGAAAAAAATCCCATATGTTGCACACTTAAGTAATGACACTGTATATGTCTATTGAAATAAAAAATAGCCTATTTTCACACACGGATTGCCGAACCGCCCACGTTGCGTCGCCGTCGTCGAGGAAAGCACTAGCTTCCTAGCGCGTTACGCCGGGAAGCGCTATGAATCCGTCACGCTTGCGTTCCGTCTCCGTCCCGCATCCGAGGAAAGCGAGTCTTTTACGAGCATGTCGTAAGCGGTGCGATAAGTGCACGCGAAAAATGTACGAAAAAACTTAAAGGTCGCGAAAATATTTTTCGAAAGGAACCGTCGAAAATGGAGTCGGTTCGCACCAAAACCAATCTGTCTTATCGATGGTACTATCGGTACTCTACGGTTCTACCTTTTTCTAGGTATTCCTGGGAAGGTGCGCGATGCGCTTCTATTCTTCAGCGATATATGGAACGCAAAATGCATGCCTCTATTATACAGGGTCAAATTTGACCCAGAAAAAGTTAACGCGAAATTATTGCATCAACAAAGTCTGACCGTCACGCTTCGCTTTAGGGCCGGTTTACACTTTGATAGTAGCAAGTGCAGGTGTGTAGGGCTAGTGTTTAGTTGTCGAATTGTAAACGGATCAATCTAGTGATTAGTGTTACTTAGTGATAAGTGCAAAGTGCAAGTTACAAGTGCAAGTGAATCAAATCGTGTTCTATTTTTCTGTTAATTAATACTCAACATGTCAAATTAATATTTGACTATATACTAACTATATACCTGTATATGCACTTTTAGCTTTTCATACAACATCGCCCAACATAGGCTTAGAAATTTACCATGTGAAACCCTTTGGCTCGTTAAAAAAAATACTCTGCATAGTAACTAACGACATCTGTAAAAAAAATCTCTAAAAATCACGTAGGGTTTTTTTTCTACGAGGGAGAAGGGTCTTTGAGACCAATTTTAAACTCTCTGTTTACTTAAGGAATTCAATTTACCACATTACGTGAGGGGGTTGATTCCTCCATCGAAAGCAATTTCAAAACTTTTTATATACTGTTCTGGCAACTGTTTGCGATGCCATTTTCCTCCTTAAACTGAATTAAAGTGAAAATAGCTTCAAGGCTTTTTAAAAAGTTTTCGTATTAGAAGGCAAAGCCCGGCAGATATATATTTTTTATATAAGAGTGAAAAATTACATAGAAATAATAATGTCAAACCTGTTGTTGATTTTCCCTTTGTATTTTCAGCCTCGCCTCGATGCACTGCCTCGTCTCTAAAAATGCTTTCCTTTGAGCCACTTCTTTGGGATAATGGGTACAAACTCCGGCCAAGTTTGCACAGAACAGCACGATAAAATTACTTATAATCTAGAAAAAGATAATGCCATGTCATTCATTCACAAATGAATCTTCCAGAAGTACTTACATCTGGAAAATCCTTTAAATTTCCCACGTAAACCAATAAAACTAATTCAGTCACAGCTAATATCGTTCCAGATAAAACAGCGTCTTTAAGTCGATTTGGCATCAGCGCATACGTCAAATAAGTTGACGTTACTGCGAAAGCTGTACCGATTAACGGCCTGTTTTGTCCGAAGAAAAATGCGATGCAGATCTAAAAGGATTATGTAAATTATCTTATGTTAGTGACTAACCCAGGTTTTAGGCTTGAAGCTTAAATAATAGGCTCTACTGCAATTATAGGCCTGTGTTGTGTTATAAACCCATTATCTGCGTTAGTCTCTTAAAAAGGTGAAAGGAAGGAAAGACAATCGCTAGGAGAAAACATTGGACATATTGTACTTATATACTACAGGGTGTCTTTAAATTGTGGGACCCAACTGCTGGCGACATAGATAAGTACTCATTAACATAAAAAAACGTTGAATGAAAGCATGGATCCGTAAATGCTTGATTTTTGAAATTCAAAAAATATTTGGTTAGATATATACCGCAAATGTGTGATACCCGTACTTCACTCTTAAAAATATTTGTTTTTTAATTTTTCGTGAGTGAGTAGATAAGCAATAAGAGTTTTGCCGCAATTTCACCCATTTTCCCAGGTAAATCTCCTTAAGGAAATCTAAGGTCCCCAATATGTTCGTTTTTATACCCAAAAAGGGTGGGGGTAAAATTTCCTCGGTTTTTGTATTTTTCGGGGGCCCCATTTTTCGGCAAGCTCCAGCGTCTAACCCAAGTGGACCCGTGCCCCATTAAGGGTTTTGTGGGTCACATTTTTCGAGAGCCACGTCTCTGTTGCTACCCCGTACAAGGTATCTAGTACATACTGATGATGACCTAACTAGTAATGAGAGTAGCCATCGTTGTTCTGATAAACGGCAAATATTGAAATAATTTATCCCCAAGAACTAGGAATTCCGTAGTGTGAATCCTATTTTTGTAAAAAACAAGCCACCAAACCGTGATAATCCGCTCCCTTTTCCATAGTTTCGTTGTGTCGTTTAGACTCGGCAAGTTTAGTAGGCACATATACATTTAGCTATACCTATTATCAAATTATTATTTAGCCCTAAGGGTTGGAAAATGATGTTATTGAAAATTTTAGAAAGTACTCAAGTATCATAACTTTTTTGGAGGAAACAGCCAAGCTGCTTTCTCTGCTATTTGCGCACGCCTAGCTATTAAGGGACCGTCAGAAACTCAGTTCTGACTAATGCGCATTTATCATTAGGGCCCTAATCAATTTTCTCAATTTAATTCGTTCTTTTACCAAAAATATCTAAATAATTTGTGTCTCCACTACTAGACTCGTGGTCCCATTTTTCGTGTATGGAATCAATACAGGTCCCAAATTTTGGAGCGCACGTAACCTAGAACTCGTAACCTGACATATGGTACCTTGTACCTGAAATGTGGTACCCTGTATTCGTGACTTGTAACAAGATACATCGTACTGGACCCCCACTTTTGGTGGGTAAAATTTTTTCTAAACTAAAATCTGGCCACGATCAGATAATTCATGTATCGTTACCATTTTCAGTAACATAATCGTCGGTCTTATTTTCCTCAGTAGGCTTGCTTTTCATTATTCTTTGAAGATATTTGGGTCTAAAAGGTCAGCGATCTTCATTTTGTAATCCTCGTCTGCTAAAACAAAAACGTTTTCTTTATTGTTCGTTCTCCTCGCGTATGGCTTTTCGTTAGTTCGGTATCAGGTTGCTTTTTGTTGGTTTAGTTCCTCATAGAATTCGTGCTACTTCTGTATGTATTTCTTGGGCTTATTATTTGGCAGAGAGATCGTGTTGCTGATTTAAGGCTTCCAATCATGTTATTGCAAAATACCCTCTTTTTCTAAGAACAAACTTCTTTTTAGGGCAGTGCCCGGTAGCTTATTTTAATAAGCATTTTGAGTAATGCCTGGTTTATACTTCTGAATTAAGGTTTAAAGTCAACCCCTATTTTCTGAACTTTGTGTTCAAAAATTCCAAAAAAAATATATGTTTTATGGTTATCGATATACTTTAATCCATAATTTTTTTAAGAAAATTTGACTCGCCATTTTTGAGTTATATCGCAAAAACTGAAAAAAAAGTAGTTTTCCACCATTTATTTCAAAACGAATAGATGAAGTTTCACATTATTTTTATTACGAACTACTATTGCAATTCTACGCGACATATATTTTTTTCAAATTTTTTGAACTTGTAGTTTTCTCGCTACTGCAAAAATAATTGGAAATATGCCCGTAGCTACACTGTTTAGAAAAAAATCCGACGGATGAACGTTCAAAATTATTTGCGTTGGTCGAAACTACAACCCTGTTTATGTAAAACAGAATAATACTTCGAATTTCCGCCAAAAAAAGAAAAAACATTCCATCACACCATTTAACCAAATGAAGATTTCTATTTCTTTTTGACAGTCAAGTTAGGGCCCACTATAGGGGCGACAGCATTGACATCTCGCGTTGCTGTAATAAACTATGGGCCTGACTTTAAACCTTAAGAATAAAACTAAATTGAGAATTAAACTACTAAAAATTGTAACGTTAAATCTCCATAATTTGATATATAATCATCGGTTTATAACGTTCTACGTCTTCCTATTCCCGATCTCCAACCATCTCTATCAATCCAGGCATCCTCCTCTAAGCCTCTATCTCTCATTTCTTCGTCCACTCCACTTCTCCAGCTTTTTCTTGGTCTGCTGCGTCTTCTTCTTCCCCCTGGCTTCCACTCAATAATTTGCTTGGATATCCTTGTATCTGCCATTCTTTGTACATGTCCGAACCAAATCAGCTGTTTGTCCTTTATATCATCTACTATTGTGTGTTTTACTTCCATAATCTCCCTTATTCTCAGATTTGTTATCCTTTCCATTTTTGACCTGCCTGCCGATCTCCTCCAAAAGTCCATTTCAGTTGCTTCCAGCATTTTTGCGGTTCTGTTTTTTAGTGGCCAGACTTCTGAGCTATATGTGACTATGCTTTTGACTATAGTGTTGTATATTCTAGTTTTGTTGGTTTTGTTGATATTTTGATCCCACAGTATACCATTTAGTAGGGATATTGCCTTGCGTTCTTGTATATTCCGATCTTTAATTGCTTCGTCTAGGGTTCCCTCATGTGAGATTTTCATGCCCAAATATTTGTATTCAGTACATTGTTTTATTTCTTGTCCGTTATTCAACTTGAGAGATTGCTGTTCGCCTCCTTTAGTCATATATTCTGTTTTAGTTAGATTTACTTCCAAACCCCATTTCTCGTATTCCTCTATCAGTTTTCGTGTCATGTACTCTAGATCATCATAGTCCTGTGCAATTACTACTTGATCATCTGCAAAGCATTGTATTCATTGAGCGGTATTCCCATGTGTTTGCATTTGTTTTTCCACCCCTTAGGCGCTTGTTCTAAGTATATTTTGAAAAGTGTTGGTGATATGCAGCATCCCTGTTTAAGTCCTTTAGATGCTATAAAGCCTTTACTGATCACGTTTCTCTGTTTAATCTTGGTCTTTGAATCACTATAGAGCGTTTTTACTGCCTTTATTAACTCTTAATTGATATTGGTCTTTTCCAGTGCTTCCCAAAGCTTTTTGAGCGTAACATTGTCATATGCTTTCTTTAGATCTACAAAGAGCAAATGGAGTTCTTGGTTATACGCTAGTTTCTTTTCTATTACCTGGGTCAAACTAAATAAATGGTCTACAGTTGATCTTCCTGCTCTAAAACCGGCCTGTTCTTCTGCCTCACTATCTTTGTACTCGTTCTCTATTCTGGCTTTTATGAGTTTTCCGTACACTCTGCTCAGTGTGTTTGTTACTGCAATTCAATTCCTCGGTGGTTCTCGCATTTGCTTCTATCTCCTTTCTTATATATCGTTGTTAAATAGCTTATTTTCCACTCTTCCGGTACTTCATGTTTATCTATGCATGTTTGAAATAGTTTCGTTAAATGTTTGTAGAGTTTATTGGTCCCATAGTTTATCAGTTCTCCATATATTTCTCCTGGGCCTGGTGCCCTACCGTTTTTCAAGAAGATACAGTGTTTTTCAACTTCTTCTTGCATAACTCTTATAGGTGATCCTGCAGTTTTTATGTTTCGTGTCTGTTCCCTTTCTTCTTTAAACTCTGCTCCCTGTTCTGTCAGTAATTCTTCAAAGTAGTCTTCCCATTGCTGGGATGTTATTGTATTGATAATATCCTTGGTTTTTGTTTTCCTCATATTTTTTAGTAATCTCCAACTTTCTGTGTTTCTTTTACCTCCCAGATAAGTATTAATATGCACACAGTTTCTTTCCCATGACTCGTTTTTTTCTGTACTATTTTATTTCGTACTCTTGCTTGTGCTTCTTTATATATTTCTTTGTCTCGTGTCTTATTTGAACTTAGATACTTTTGGTATTTCTTCCTTTTATCTTCTATGTCTTGCTCTATTTCTTAATCGCACCAATAAGGTGAGGGCCTTCTTCCATTTTTTTCATATTGGCCTAGGGCTTCAATTGCTGCACTGTGAATACTCTCTTTGATATGTTGGTAGTGCATTTCGAGGTTTTGGAAGTTTATACTACTCTGTAATTTTTGATCCAATCTCTTCATGTACAACCCCTTTACGCTTTGCGCATAATTTGATGCTGTCGTTTATACCTCAAATTAAACAATTAAATTAAATTACTTAAATAAAGAACCATATAGTTTTTCCTATTATTTTTTTAAAAATAATTTCCAAGGCTTTGTTGTTTTCGAGTATATTTTTCATCCTCCTTAATGATATGGCATCCACTTCATCCGTCGACGAGCTAACATTGCTAACAACTCAATTTTTTTTTTCCGTTGGAAGTTTAATTTTATTTTAATGAGTACCTACCTAGATGTCTAATCCTCCTATTCAGAAACATCCTGCATGTGTTACCGGTAAAGCACGAATAAGTGCCTTTTAACAATTAACTGGTTCTGTTACTAAAGCCCGAAAAGTTTCTAAGCTTCCCTTAATTTAAACCACCCAACACTGGGTCTTAACAATGCTAATCATTTAATGAGCGAATCCAGGCCGTGTAAGTTACGCGAGTTGGATTATTTGGGTGAAAAGTAATAGTCTTACCCATGATTTTATTTTGTTTTATTTCTATTAGATGTACGTTGATCAGATTTTCATCCATAATAGACCGATCTGCATTTGTATATTATGTTTTATAATTTAAGAGACAGACTTTATTATTCTTGCTTTACCCGTAACACATATGGTATATTATATAAAATACTAACCTGTAAAGTTACAAAAGTCAATAATATAAAATAGGAGATTATAATCAGGTAAACTTCGTTCATTGCAGGCTTGGACACAACCGTGAGTAAGACTGAAAGAAAAACAAAAGAGAATCACAAATCAGTTAAATGTGATTGGGTTGGAATTGTTTTATCATTTTCGTTGAAGCATAAAGTAAAAATTCTTACCACCATAAACGGCAATACAACAAGCCGACGTGCACATAAGTACGACTAAATAATCGAATCGCGTGGTGTCTTCGTAAATCGAGTGCGATTCCTCTGGATGCGGCACTATGAAATCGGCCACGCCCAATAATAAAAACCCGATGCACAACAGCAACAAGAGAGATATCAGATTTGTCATATTGCTTTGGTTCATTTTCAAGAAATATCTTTGGTACAACATCTCAACCTGAAACAAATAACTTTATTTAAATCTAGTGTGTAAACGCTGTAAAAGAATCTAAATTGATCAAGTAGATTAGCTTATATTAGAGTCGATTTTTCTATGACCCAATGTTTTTAGTTAAAAACTTGTCATCTTTGGAAAATATCCCTATAGAAGAGAGTGCAGACATTAAAGAGCACTGGACCAAGAATTGTACGAAATACACTGTTTTGGAATCAATAAATGTGAATGTGAAAAGGTGTTCTTCGATGCAAACCAGTCTGCTCGACTTTACATATACAACATGTCCTTTTCGACAATATTTCCAGATTTTGCATCATAATTTTCCAAGTTAGATTTGATATTGAAGCCCAAAGGAAAATTCCGCAATTTTTTTTGGAATCAAAAGAGCTGGTTCGGCCTGAAACGCATTTTTTTATGTTGAAATCCGCAACTGTGACTATTCCAATTTTCCTATCGGATTCGAAACACCAATACCCCATTTAATAAATTTCATTCAATTTTTTTTTTTAAACTTCCTGATTTCAAATTGGAATAAAAGAGAGATTTGCACCCTGGTGTGCCCCCTCAAGCATATTACATTTTATATTGGTCTAGTCCCAAAGGTATTGCAGAAGAAAAAAAGAAATTGGTTTTTTTTTTCCTAAAATTGACGTTACTATTTGTTTGGTTGAGGCAATCTCTAGGGTGTATTGGTTCTCATGTAAGTCAATTTCATTTAGCACTAACTTCATGAGTGAAAATTGACTGGTGATATTAATGTATTAGTAAATCTATATAAATGAATAACTTGTACATAAAACGGGGTTAGGCATGGGAGCCTCATGGTAATTTTATCTTTATCCCATTCGCATTACTTTAATACAGTCATCATCAGTCATGCTTCAGCCCAAAAACAGCCGCAAGTTCCTCGAAGATTTTTATGTTGACAAATATATCAAAATCAGCAGTCTATTTTGTAATAGACCTGTCTCGTATAAATAGAAAAAGAGAGCTTAATTGTAATAAATACAAGTGAGAAAGTAATAAAAGATGACATGCGCGCGCAACTCGTAGGTGCAGTGTAGCCAGATTGTATTGTAGCATAACAAATGTAGACAATACAAATCCCACATTATAACATTAAAGAAGTGATATAGTGTCAAGTGTTTTACAACGCCTTAAATCAGACAAAAGAAGCGCTTGAAAAGTATATGTTAACATCGTTTTCACTTTTATTTTGATAAATGTTTTATCCGGCAACATCGCACAATGAAATTGCAAAGGGATATGTCAAGTATAATTTAACATAACCTTAAACGACACTGCGGTGAGTTCAAGTAATATGTAAAGTATTAGTTTGCTCTTTGTCGAATTACATGTTACAAAGAAAGAAGGAACGATTCATTCTGAACTGGCCCCTGAATAAGAATATGACGTAAGCCTGTAAGAAACCTGCTTCACATTGGACGCTCACCTGCAGCCTACAAGCGACGCGCGCAGTCCAGGTAATAGGAGATCGGTCTATTAAGGAGTCTGCCATGTAGAGAAATCTAATTTTTGAGCAATGAAGATTCGGTTTATTCGAAATGTGGAATGTGGATTTGTAACAGGATATACTAATATTATATTGTGTTCCACAAGTTCAATCAATAATTTACTTTACTTAATTTACAATCATACAAGTAAGGTTGACTTTTCTGACTTTTAAAAAGTTCGAAAATGTCACTTTTTTGACTTTTACTTTCCACCCACGGGTGGAAAGTTTACTTTCCTCCCGTGGTCCGAAAGTAAATGAAATTGTTAAAATTTATTGTATTTTTTTAGTTTTCATTCAAATAAAAATTACAAAATTCGAATGATTGTGAATAAAATAGTATACATACCACAGTGAAAAGTTTCATCACTGTCTCGATATTTGAGTTAGCCTCGGCTGCGCCTCGGTCTAACTAAAATTTCTCGACAGAAACACTTTTCACCTCGGTATGTAATATACTATTAGTCAACCATCCAAGGACCTTTTTTTTCAGTTATACATGTAAACCCCATACTTTGTGAGTGGCTTGCTTACATCAAGTCCTACAACTTTTCCTCTACGACTTTTCTCGGAAATGGCACGTATGCGCGCAGGCGACTCGCAAACATGTCGATCTGACGTAGCTATGTTTCCTGATACATGTAGGTAAATCTAATTTTACGAATACTGTTTGATTTTTATGTCTAAATCACGGAAATCAACTTGGCCGACAAAAATAATGGCAAATTGGGGGAGTCCGATCCCCCAAAATGTCGATCTGACGTGGTTATGTTTCTTGATACATGAAAATCTAATTTCACGAATAATGTTTGATTTTTATTTCTAAATCACGGAAATCAACTTGGCCGACAAAAATAATGGCAAATTGGGGGAGTCCGATACCCCTAAAATGTTTGCGAGTCGCCTGCGCGCATACGTGCCATTTCCGAGAAAAGTCGTAGAGGAAAAGTTGTAGGACTTGATGTAAGCAAGCCACTCACAAAGTATGGGGTTTACATGTATAACTGAAAAAAAAGGTCCTTGGATGGTTGACTATATTATTTACAACCACATACGTAATGTTGACATTTCTGACTAATTCGCAAGTTTGAAAGTGACACTTTTTTAATTTTTCTTTCCTCCCGGGTGGAAAGTGGTCTCGGGTGGAAAGTATTGTTTGCCCAGCGGATCTGAGTCTACGGAAGGAATTCGGACGTAAATGTGCCATGTTGCCACGTTTAATTATAAAAAAGCGAAAATACTAGGCATGGAGTATAGTTAATTTGAAAATCCATTTTCTGATAACAAAATATTGATAACAATAATAAAACGCTAAATATTTTAACGTGGTTGTTAGACCTATCCATATTTTTATCCTGATTTCTTCAGTTGGGTCTATTGAAAAAAATAAACATTTTTTAAAGATACCATCAGCTTTTGACAATTTGGCAAGCATCCGTCCTGGATGAACCTGATTGGTGGAATTTTTGGCAGGATCGCCGTTGTCATGGGGAACCATACGGTTGCCAATGAGCTAACGTCATCTTACGTCTCGCTATTGGCCAGGGCTCACGTCATTTTATCCTCCCATCTTGGAATATCGATTTATATTGACATATCCAGTGGCGGAGATTTGGTCATTGCTGATTTTCGTGTACGAGTTGCAATACGATAACACTTCCAAAAAGTTCCGCACGCAGCTGGGTATTTTATGAATGAAATCAGCCATTTTTTTTTACAACTGCATTCCCCTTACGGTTGCCCCGTAGACACAGACTCGCTGGGCAGACATTAAGCCCCCATTTCCTAAAATGTTGAAAGACAAGTCCTGCATGTCAAAAGTTTTTTTAGATAAGTCACAACTTGTCAATGAATTTTTTTAAATTTTTATTTAGTATTTAGCCAACATTGAGATGGTTGTAATTGTTGTAAATAAAATAGTATACAAACCTCGGTAGGAAGTTTCATTCCTGTCTCGAGATTATAGTTAACTAATCCAAACTAACCTCTTGACAGTAATGAAACACTTTCCACCTCGGTATGTAATATACTATTTCATATTTTTATTTGAGTAGACAGAACCATTGATTGCTCGAGATTATGAAATTTTTACAAATTCAATATTTTTGTCGTATCTAGGATAATAGGGCATCTCCCTTCGGTAAATTAAACTCACTCGTCTTCCATAAAAAGTTCATGGATTACAGGAAGTGTTATAGTTGGGTTTTATATTAAAACACATATGCAAGTTAGAGGAATCTTTTGTGCCTCTTTTATTAATAAATTATCAAAAACTGTCCTTGTTGACAATTGCTAAGGCATTTGTTCAAACTTCACAATCAGGTAATACTAGCAAGGAAACTAGATATACCTGCATACTTATAACATGCTTCCTTAAAAAAAATAAAATAAAAATAATAATACTTGATAAAAAAATATTAATAATAATCAAGATTCAATAACTAAGGTTCTAAATCTGAATCTAAATCACGTGCATTATTTTTTATGCATAATCATTCAACCAAGCAGGTGGTTTAGATTGCCGTCTAGATAATACTTTAGAATCATCTGAATTTGAAAATCTATTACCATCGGGAGCACAAATAGTTTTTGATAATTCATCAGATGATACTTCAGCATTATTAAAATGATTTTGAATATTAGAAGAAACAGAAGCTTGAGCAACTTGATTATTAAGAGGAATGTTATCAAAATCATATAATAAGTTATGGTCACATTTATTTTGGAAAGTCAATTTTGTTGGTCTCAGGTATCTTCGATTTCTTCTATATTCACTGCCGTACTCATCTATCACAATGTAAGATCTATTGTTAACATTAGCCATTACTTTTCCTATTTTCCATCCCTTTTCAACTTGAATCAGAATAGTCTCAAGTATATTTAGTTCTATTAAATCTTTTGCATTTCTATCATAAAAATATATTTCTTTATCTTTCATATTTTCTAAAACTCTTTTAATTTCGTCATTGGTAATTAGAATGGGTTTTAGTGCATTTTCCGAAATTGGAATTTGAATTTTAGCAGTTCGCATAAGAAATAATTGGCTTGGAGAGTACCTTTTGAGAGATGATATCGGGGTATTATTATATTCTAAAACTAATAATTGCAAATCAGAATTTTTAGCTTTTTTAAGCATGTTTTTCACAATACAAACATATTTTTCAGATAATCCATTTGATTGATGGTGATAAGGACTACTGAAAACAATATCAAAACTCCAATTTTTTGCAAAATTTTTGAACTCAAATGAATTATAAGGATTATTATCACCAAAAAATTTATCTGGCATTCCAAACTGTTGAAATTTATTTTTGCACACCTCAATTAATTCTTTGGCGGTTTTTGTTTTTGTAGGAGTGATTTCGATCCAGTTGGAAAAAGCATCGACCATAACGAGATAATTCTTATTTTCAAATTGAAAAAAATCCGAATGAACATATTGCCATGGGCGAACAGGGGAAGGATGTGGTATTTAAGTTTCTTTTTG